CCATGGGAAAGCTGGTCACTTAAATCTGTCTTTAAGCACCTTTAAAAGCTGAGGTGCTCAATTCTCGGCATCACATTTTATGACAAATCAGAGCAGCTATATGAGCTCTGAAAACTCAGTGTGCTCCTGTCTTCACAAAAAAAGTGAGGCAACTTGACCACTTCAGAACACCTCTCCATTTTGTATTGAAATCTTTTCATGTTTACCAGAAAATTTTTGAGGAGGTATTGCCCAAGGGCTGTGTATGCTAGGGATCTGTCTAAAGACAGGGTTATAATTATACAGGTTATAACTATATATAGATGTGTCTAATAACATTATTTCCAAAATTCCCTATTTGCATTCTTTCAGTTTTTTTATGGGCTGTTTTTAGCTTGCCTTTATTTTCTGCTGTTTGGTTACTGTGCAGTCTAAAATTCTTCATCAGATGAAGCTCTAAAGGAAAACAGATGCACAGTGCAGCACAGTTTCTTTGCTGGCCAGGGAAACAACATGAAATCTGCAGCTACCCTAAGCCACCCCACTACTTATTCTGGTATTCAGGCTCTGTCAGTCTTCTTCAGGGGCAGTAATAACATTATAATGGGACTGGGAGACAAAACTGCCAAAGTCTTTCCAAGACAATCTTCTGGGCTCATCAGCATAGACAATCATTCTTTTCACTTCTGGAGTAATAGGAAGATTTTAAGCAATATCTTTTGATTTGAGTTGGACTTGAAAAATGACATAGCTGGGGGCCTTATTTTAAATGCAATGAGACTGAAATGTAAAGTGCAATTTCCCATGCAGTCTGTGGAGAGAATGAGGCACTTGTCCCAGTTCTCTTAATTGTCTCTGATTGCTGTTTGTGTAGCACAGTCACTTCCTCGTCTTCAAAATCACCTTCAAGGGCTCCAACATTTTTCACTTCACTGTTTTAAATCAGGAAGGGCTAAACATTCACCCATTCAGCCATTATGGCTCTTTTATGTTATTTATGTGGTTTACGCTATTAGGCTTTAAAATTTTGTTTATTTAATTGGCTTTAACAAGTACTTAAGTAACAGTTTTGAGGACGCATCAGTGGGACTCAGCACACGTTGATTAAGGTGTGCTTAACCTGACAGTTAATATTTTGTACCATTTTCCCAACAGCCATTACTGTTATGGAAGAAGTGCTAATTTTCCAAAAATGGTTACAGCTCGATTATTATGTCGGTTCTTTATTCATGCAGCTTCATTATTTTGTTGGCGCTGCTCTGTGAGAGATGAAGTAGTGCTATTATTTCTACTCCCAACTCCTTTCAGTCCTTCGCAATCATTTAGGCACATGTGTGACATTACTCAGATAAGCAATTCTGTTTGCCTTCAATGAGTCTGGGTGTATGAATACACCCTGTAAGACAGCTGCCCACCTTCATATGTCAGCACAGTATTTCCTGGCATACACTTTGAGAGGTGAAGAAGAAACAGTAAAAATCATGTTCCATCAAATCTTCTTTGTTTAAGTTTTAATTCAGAAGAGAAGTTCTGCCAGTTAGGAGCCCTTGGTTTTATGGGGAACCCAAAAGGAGGGAAAAGGAGTAGAAATTTCCAAGATGGTTACAGATAAGTGGAGATCAGAGAAGCTGCTTTGGTCTCTAAAAGTAGAAAGGCTGCTTAGGTCTGTGGCTGGAATATTAGAAATTGGTACTCCGAAGTTACTCAAGACTGCAGAAGTCCAACTTAGCTTTTACAACAAATTATTCATGGAAGTCAGCAGGAGCTGGAGATAAACTATTCATTTTGTGCGTATCTACGTGAAAGGAACTCTCAAGAGAGATCCTCAAGATCCTGCCAAGAAAACAAGTGGAAACATTTTGAGAATGGGAGTAAACATTTATAATTGAAACCACCAAAAGCATGTTTTGGTTAGATGCCATCTTTCCTTAGATGAGCAGGTGGCATAGAGGGCAAGGAAAGGTATGAGGGCTGGAAGGAATGTGGCTATGACACCAGGCTGCTTTTAAACATATGACTGGAGCTCTGTGGACTCAGTTCCCAAGACACCTTGACTCCACCCGAGAATCTGAAAGGACTTCAACAAAATACAGCCAGCAATTACCTCCTGTGTCTAACCTATATCAGATGGGAGTAGCCTGGAACGACTCAGAAAGATCCTGTGAAAAGGTGGCAGCAGAGTGGACACAGTGAGGTGAAGTTTATCCCACTCAGCAGAAAGGCAGCCTACTGATAAAACAGCACATACCCATAGCATACTCATCTGTCAAATGGTGTCCTTGCCCCAGAAGATGCTTCTAACCCAGGTTAGACATTCCACCTCCTTTATTTCTTCCCTGGTTGCCAAGATGATACCACTAGTCATCACACCACTACCAGCTTCTAATGGAGATACATCTAAAATACTGCCTTCTACAGCCTCTAATCCCTAGCAGTGCAGTTGCAAACAAAAGTCAGAAGTGTAGACAGAAGCTCTCTTTTTCTTACCTTTCTTCACTGTAGAAATAAAAATTTAACTTGTTGAAATGCATACTGTCTTATTTTTCACAACTTGATTATTATTTGATTTACCACTGCAACACCGTGCATGGATCTGAATGCACTGTACATGCATCCTGACGTAAGGAGCTAAAAACAGGGCAAGAGACCATGGTTAGGCAGTGACTAACAGACCACAGGCAAAGGAACGATAAAGTAAGGCAAGTTAGCATGTGTATAGGGGCTCAAAACACCTGCACTTTCATCTTAAAGAAAATAAGACTCTGGCATATTAAAGATGGTGGCAGTTTCAGAACACATAAGCAACTTTTTTTCCAAACAAGAAGAAATTAATGCCACACAAAATGTGAACTTTCTTTAAAGCACTGAGTGTAGCAGTGGGGAAAGGGAATAAAGGATGTTCTTAAAATGAACACTTTTGCTTTAAATAGAGCATTTGAAATGAAAAATACTAACTGTTTTTCATATTTCACCCGTAATAACACATTAAAGGATTTCTTAGCAGTACTTGTGACAATGGCAATAAGTCAGGGTTAACTTGGCAGAAACCCCAAACCACACTTAGCTGGTCCCTATTGTAACAGTGAACAAAGGTTTTATTAACATCTTACCCCTTGTTGGGCCCAAGAGTTCTTTTTCACACAACAGGAGCTTTGAGTCAATTTACAGCTCTGCAGAGGGGATTTGTGCCATCAGATTCAGCATGTCATTCAGCGGTTGTTTACAATTATTTCCCACCATCCCCATCAAAATTTATCTATGAGAAGTAGGGACTTTTTTTTTTTTTTTTAAGAGTATTTTTAAAACATATTCATGATGGCCATAAAATCAATGGATGAAAAATCTTCCACCCTCCAAAACCAAGTTGCACATAAAAGATGGGACAGAGGAGGTGCTGTAGTTCATGAAGTCTGCCTTCTATAGTAAAAGCAGAAGAAAATCAGAGCAAAAAAAAAACCCTTCAGGAAATCTTGCTCCCCAGGTGCCTCTGAAGACCACAGCAGTCTTGCTATCAGGAGGAAGAAAAGGTGTCACTCCACTTGCTAAGGTGCAGCATTCATCAGCCCACTTTGTTGTACCTAATCTGTGTGAGCTGCCTTCTCTGGTAGCCACAACCTCCACTACCTCCTCGTTCTGAAGGCAAGGCCATCCCAAGCCCTCTGTGGTTATCTGGCCTGAAGGGTGCAGCTGAAACAATTTTGGTCCAATTAACATAACAGACTTCCCAGTGAGTGCTGCTGTTGGGACAATTAGGTGTGGCAGGAGGTCTGAAAGGACTTCAACAAAATACAGCCAGCAATTACCTCCTGTGTCTAACCTATATCAGATGGGAGTAGCCTGGAACAACTCAGAAAGATCCTGTGAAAAGGTGGCAGCAGAGTGGATACAGTGAGGTGAAGTTTATCCCACTCAGCAGAAAGGCAGCCTACTGATAAAACAGCACATACCCATAGCATACTCATCTGTCAAACGGTGTCCTTGCCCCCAAAACATCAGCTTCTACCCTATCTCAGTCAGAAACAAATGTAATTCATTCAATGACTCGAAAGGACCTATGGCACTGATAACTCTCACTCCTTGTTGGACTTAAGATGAGGCCTTTGGAAAGGATAATCTGCTGTCACATGGCAAAAGATGTTTCCAACCCAATCATCTGATAACTGCTGTTAACAGGAAGCCTGCAGTTTGCAGTCCTTCACAGAACAGCAGTGATTGCATCCCTCCGCTCAGTTCCCAGGCCATGCAAGGACTTCTCCCACAAGCACGGTGCCCTCTATTTAACTTGAAGCCAGAGGCTGGCCTTCCTAATGTGTCAAGGTTTCTGATCCTCTTATTATCCAAACATATCCTAGACTTCAAGGGAAATGAGCACGTTGTGGGAAATGTGTCCCTGCCTTCATGGAAGGAGGCAGCCTTTAACTGTGCAGTGATTGGCTCTCACTCTGGGGAAAAACACCTTTGTGGCCTCAAGGTACTGCAAAGAAACATCCCCTGTGCTTTTTGTGCCCTTCCTCACGTTGGCTTTCACAGAAAAGTTAGAGGCAAAGGATCAATGTGCACTGTTAAATGGAATCCAAAACCCACTAACTTTGCGTGGAGTTACTGCAATGGTTTTTTTTCCAAAGCAAACTGATTTCTCAGCTTCTTCACCAAGGCTGCGCTTCCAGTTTGCATCCCAGCTGCTCTGAAATAGTGAATGAAACGAGCTGCTCTCCTACCTCGAGAGGGCACCACGAGACAGTTGAAAAAAGGAACGGAAGCAAACAGGCTTTACCTCAGGCCCCAAATATTCCTGTCATGAGGATGTTCAATTACAGTAATTAGCAATAATCACATAAGCAACAGGAGCTTCCCTTACCTCCCTTCACCCCACCAAAGAATGGAGTCTGCTTTATTAAAACCTCCGCTTCCTACTTAATCCTGCAGCCTCGTTTCTGGGTGCTTCCTTCAGCAACCGGAGGACCTGGATCCCCACTCCTGCTGCCTGACACTGGGTCAGCATGTCAGCCTGGGAGGGAAAAAAAGTGTTCTTTGTGAGTCACCTGCCTTCAACATTGAAAATTAAGAGGGGATGGATGTCTTAAATGCTAACGGATGGTACTCAACAAGCTAAAGCCTATCGCAAGTGTGACTGCTGCTATGTTTTCATAACGACCCTGACCTATTTAAAATAAATTAGCTGTCTATGAAGCAGGATTTGTTGTTGGTTTTTTTTTTCTTTCAATAATTATATTTTCCCTCCTCCCACTCACCCTATAGCCAATAAATTTACCCTGACAGTACCTAATTTGCAGGACGAAAACTGAAGTCAGAAGATTTACTGAAGGTCAGATGAAACCACGTTTGTTCAAAGACCATTTTTCATTCTTGGAAGCATCTCAGCTTAGTAACTTCAACACGAGTTCGTTCTCCTTCCCTCTGCATTGATGCTTCCCAGCAATGAGACACAGGGCACTGCTGGCAGCCAGGCAACACAAGGGGCACAAAGAAATTATAGGCCAAACAAATATGTTTAAGAAGTAAGTACACATTTACCTGCTCAAACATACCGGTTGAGTTTGAGCAAAGAAAGGAGACCAGAAAGTTTTGAATGAGCCTAAGTTCTCAGTACAGATGAAATAAGAGGCCTGGATGCACCTGACCTCCAAACGCAGGCTGCCTCCAGCACAAAGGCATTTTTCAGTACTGAGTCCCCAGAAACCAGGATTATGTCCCAAAGTCCATGCACTGTCTGAGCCTTCTGTTACAGACTGGAAAGTGCAGATCCAAAGAAGAGCCTCAAGTAAGAAATCTTCACAGACAGAAGTCAATCCACGCTGGGCATCTGGATGCCTCCCTGTGAGAGCTACTGCAGGGAGCCTGCTTTAGCAGGGGGGTGGGACTTGATGATCTTGAGGTCCCTTCCAACCCCTGCAATTCTGTGAATCAGTGCAACGTGGTTGGCAAACATAAAGGAAGGGACCAACAGCCCCATCCATCAGACTGTTCCACAAGGCTCTAAATCTCATTTACCCCCAGATAACAGGTAAAATGAGAAAGGCAAAGACAGAATTCTGGATATTCAGGACATCTGTCAATCTGATGGAGATTCCAGTCTGTGGCATTTCATAGCAGCATTTCCCTGTATTTTATACAATCAGGAAACAGCACAGATGCTCTGCTTTCTCATTGTAGGTGAGCTGAGGACAGAATTGGTGAGGCCTTGTTGAAAAGAAAACTAAGCAAAAAGCATAGTACACAGAGGAAACTATGAATTTCAGCTGGATAAATATAAAGAAAATAAGTGATTCATTCATAACCAAGAGGCTTCAATTTATACACATCTATTTTTGGGCAGGATTCCTGCTGTTAAAGCAGAAATGCCATAAATAAAAACTTTGTATGACTTAGATACTATCATGGAGAATTAAATGCCCTTCCTTCCTTTTTCTGCATAAACTTACAAAGCAAGTAACTTTATCGATTGCTTTTGTTTTCATTTTAGATTCAGTGAGAGATCAGGGTGATGACATGGTGCTATAGAGGGTCATCAGACCAAAAAAGGTAGGTAATAATGTGTGAATTTTGTGGGAACTGAGCTAATTAAACCTCCATCCCTCCAACTCTATCCTGAGAGATAGTCTTTACAAAGACTTACAGCAGGCAAACAGCAACTTCATAAAGTCCAACAAAGAGAATTGCAAAGCCCTGCCCCTGGGCAAGAACAACCACAAGTCTCAGAACAGGGTGGAACAGCTGGAAAGCAGCTCTGCAGGAACTCCCATGGGAGACCTGAAGGGCAACAGTTTGAGCACAAGCTAGCAATGTGTCCTTACAGCAAAAGCTACATCAGGAAGAGCATCTCCAGCAAGCCAAGGGAAGTAATCCTTCTCTCCTCTGCAATAGTGAGATCACATCTGCACTTCTTGGTTGTCTTGGGCTCCTCAGTACAATGGAAGCATAGACATCCTAGGATGAGTCCAGTGAAGGGCCATGGTGATGGTTAAGGGGTTGGACTGTCTGTCATAAGAGGACAAGCTGACAGAGCTGAGCCTGCTGAGCCTGGAGAAGTTCAGGAGTATCTTGCCAATGTGTATCAACACCTGATGGGAAGGGGTATGAAACTGAGCCTGAATCTTCTAAATGGCACTCAGTGAGCAGACAATGGACACTGAAATACAGGAAACTATTTAAACATAAGAAAAAAAAAGAGCAACCAAAAAAGTAAACCAAACCCAGACAACCCACACTGGAACAGGTTATGCACTCTCAATCCTTGGAAATACTAAAAGCCCAGCCAGACACTGCTCCAGCTGACCCTGCTTTGAGCAGTACTTGGACTAGGTTACCTCCAAAGATCCCTTCCAACCTGAACACTCTTGTGGTTCTGTGGTTCTATGACTGTCCAGGTTATTGATGTATTCTGTGACAGGAAGAGCAACAAGCTGTATCAACAAACTCTGCTACTGAAAGAGCTAGATTAGTTGCTAGAATCACACCCAGCAGCTGGAGTGAAAGTGAGTTTCTGTTCAAAGCCCTGCCAATGTAAACACTATTGTTCCAGAATATGAGCTCTATCTGTGGGATTTCTTAACGTGCCTCAAGAACATGGATATCATTAGGCACCTTATTAGCACCCTTGTGAGAGCTGCATGGCTAGCAAGGAAGGGAGCTGCATGGCTAGCAAGGAGAGGGGCTGGCTGCCCCAGCCTGAATACAGCGTTTAGCTGAGCTTCTCCTTGAAAACATTCAAACCTTGTGCATGGAATGCAAAAATGGGAGAGAAATAAGGAAGGGCTGGTCCTTCCCTTTCATCTTCTGATTAAATGATGAGCTGCTTGGTAAAGAGATACAGGACATTTCACTGCAAACTTTCCCTAGTTGGCACAGAGGATTTTTAGTTTGCTTTCTTTTTATTCAGGGTTAATGATTCCTGAAATAAAAAAAGCAATGTAAATATAATTCCTGAAGATGGAACATTCAGAAGCAATACTCCTTCAATCTCAAAATTGCTCAGCTCACTTTTTAAATCAGTCTCAGAAGTAGGGCAGGAGGTTTGCCTAATTATTTAGCGAGCATTTGCACTTGAAAACACTATTCTAAATTACACTGATTGTATCCCAGAGCCCAACTTTAGGCATAACAGTATGGTCTGTTACATCACAGGAAGCTATTTTAGCAGGAGTATTCCAGCAGGAATATTGTTTAGGTTTTAGAGCCCTCTTCTATCCAGGTGACATGAAATGTAAGATAATGAAATCAGCTAGAGCTGGATCATCAGGAATGATTTATTTTATAAAACTGTCCATTTTTAATCAAGGCTGATTTAATTATTTAGATAGACCTGTTTGGGAACAAAATTAACTTCTATGCTGGCTTCATTTTTCATCTGGGAATACATTATGTCTGTGAATGCTGAGCTATAATTTATTTCTAATCCTGCTGGTGTTTTTGCTGTACACACAATAAATTAACATAGGAGAAAGGATGTCCTCTGCATCTTGTTACCACTTCAGCGGTTTTCACTTCAGTCCACCCTGCTCTTTTCTCTTTGCATTCTTGCATGGTTCTGCACATCAGCTATCTATAATTACCATCATCCAAATTGCAAATACAGCCTGTTTATTTCTCATATCCAAAACAGGAGCATGAGAAGAAAGGCTGGGTAAACTGAGCATAACTGCGGTTCAACAGAACAATGTCACTGGGTCCAAATCTAGCAAAGTCTGTACGCACAAACTTAATTTAAAACATGTTAGTATTGTTTTTGCAAGAACACTTTTAATGTTAAGGCTTCAGTAGCAATTTTCATACTTAAATTATGCACAAGCCAAAGAACTTCACTAGACAGAGGCCTGACCTCCACTACTAAATGCAACCCTCTTTGTCTTTCAGAACCAAATTAATTCTCTTATTATCCTCACACTGCAATGCACTCCTTAGACTCAGATTTTGATTGAAGATTTAAAATGGATAATATAAATGTGACATATACATTAAGTGAAATTTCAGATATATGGCTTTTTAACTTTCAAAAACAGCTTCACTAGAAGTGGTTCACTCTTAGTAAATTACCTCTGACAAGTCCGAATCTCCCCGATAAGCCTCTCAAATACTACAGCTTCTGCTCAGAGGAATATCTAAAAACTCATCATGCCCAGCCCTTGACAAAGAACAAGAATTAGATTCAAACTGAAAAGAAGCGATGCTGGGAGAGGCTGACATTCAAAAAGGGTAGGAGGATAAAAGAGAGAGCAAAATGACAGACCCAGTCTGCACCATTACTAAAATTAGATCATTTCTTTTGTTCTCCTGAACCTTCTGCTCTATTTGCCAGGAATCATATTAGCAACAGAAACTGTGAGAATCTGTCCAACCTTATTAGAGAAGCTGGGCACAAAGAAATTATGAAAATCCTTTTTAAATGTACTTGCACATACAAAGGAGAAAAGCAGAGTTTCAGAATTTTGAAAGATTACATCAAAACCACGTCGGAAAAACTGGACGTCAAACTAACAAAGCTTAATTAACAGTACTGCAGTACGCTGAGCACAAGCAGAGAACAGAACTTTACCATTTGCATCAATATAGATATAGTTTTAATGCTCCAGACAGGGATAAACACAGGCATGCTCACAAGCTCCTCTCCTCCAAAACATTAATCTATTGTCCAAGCACGGCCACCTGTAAGAGCTCCAAAGGGTCAGCTCTGCTATTGGGAAGCATTTTGGCAGCCGGCTTATGCTGCAGGACAGTGCATTTCTTCCCCGTCCTTTTTCCCTAGCTCCAGCACCCCAGCTCATTCCCACCCCCTCACTGTGATTCTAGCAGAAGTAGAATTAATCACTTGCTGCTAGCGTGGTGAAGCACGGGGGGTGGATACTGTCAGCTTCTAACCATTAGGCTAAAAAGGCATTTGTTCATATAAAGTGGGAGATTCACCTGCAGGCCTAATGGTCTGTCCTGCCATAGGAGCAGCTGATGGTGTATACAAATCATGCACCCCTCAGTGTTGTGGGAATTTCACGAGAATCTTCACAGTGAGATCCTGATGGAGGCAATCAGAACCCAGACCCTGATAACTACGGGGTGTGAAGGCGATCATTCTTGACTGGGTGAAGTGCACCCACTGGCTTGCATGCAGATGATATAAATTCAGTACTAATACAAGAGCTACAACTTGTCCTGAAGCTCCAGCAGTGAGAGGTAGTATGCTGCTGGAGTGGGGTCTCTTGCACACAGTCTGCCTCCATTCATAACCACAACATCTACACAGCCATGGACTGTGGGATAAATGACAACCATGACGTCTGCATGGCCACAGGATTCTTACACCCTGTCAAACCAAAGATGCAAAATATCCCATAGTCAGTCCTCGGTTGTCACATACAATTCAAGCAGTACACAAATTTGCAATCTGTAGTTCTTTTTCTGTCCCTTTCTGCTCAGATCAGTGACAGATTCTCAAAGCACAGCAATCGAAAGAGACTTCCAAGACAAGTGAGCAACTGAATGAAAGTTAATACTTGATAAAATTCACCACATGGGTGACCGTTACAATGGCACGATCAATAGTAGTTCAGAAATACCACTGACAGCCCTTGGACCCAGGGAAATGTATCTTTCACACAGAGGAACTTTTTAAAACTTTTTTTGTAAAGTAGATAGTTTATTTTAAAGGGATAAAGTCATCCAAAAAAAAGCAAACTCCCAAGTATTCCATGGCTTTCTGCCAGCCTAAAGTCATACTGTCTAAAGGAATTACTTCTAAGGGAGCCATGAAAAAGTAGTTGTGGATAATATACATTCAGCATACACAGCTTCCTCATTCATAACAAAGTAAACATAAGAAGTATGAAAATATGCAAGATGTTTACTTGGGGATCAGATTTAAGAGCCCTTTCACCAATTAAAAAGAAGCAACCCAAAAAAACAAGTCCTAAGCCTGCAAATAGTTTATGTATATCTCAATTCAGGCAGATGAGAACTATTAATTTCAGAGGAATTGTTCACATGCTTGCAGTTACACGCTACAATAATCTGGAAAGGACAGCTGGAGGCTGGCAAAATTGACCTATAACACTTTTCAAGTTTTATTTTATATGACCAAGAAAGCTCTTCTAACTTTTGGAGAAATAAATTAGTATGCTCTCTTTTCCAGTACTTAAGAATTTGCACTGACTCAATTTCTGATTTCTTCTTGAATAAGGACAGGCAAGAATCTTTAAGTTCTGAAACACAAGCTGCAGAGATTGTCTTTAAATAAAGCTTAAGTCTGCTTACCCCCAAAATTGTCAGAGGATTTACATTACTTCAGTACGGGATTTTAATAGGAGACACATTTCAAGGACAAGGTGTGAATAAACCTGAAGTCTGGAATGCTGGAGAAACCCAGCAGCCTGAGATGTGCATCATCCTTCCCACTGGGCTCTGGTGTCACTTGTACTATTGACCTCCATCAGAAAGAAACCCCATAAATGTAAATCTGTCTTTTTTGGTAACGTTTCCCAAGTTTTACACTGGATACCCATCACTTTGTCTTTTTGTTCTCTCTGAAGAATACAGACTAACAAGCCTCCAAAAAAAGTTACTACGCTTCTGACTCAAATCGCTCAGAGGAATTCCTTTGCTGTATTCAGAATTTCCAGTACATAGAAATGCATTAAACGTTATTAGGGATTCAGATTCAAACGGATGCAATAGTTTTTAAGAACTTACAACATGAATATTAAGGTAGACAGATGCATGCCCTGCTACCCTACGGTACACAGTTGCACATTATAATACTGTTGGATGTAAATCCTATGAAGCACGCTCCGTCTATTCAACAGTGTTCAGTGGTCGAAAGCGGTCAGTAGGGCCCGGGCAGGTGGGGGACACAGGGACAGCAACCTGCGCGGGCTGGGGGGGGGGTCACTTTTTTCTTCACTTTGGGATCCTGCCAGCAAGCCACGGCTAGACAGGGCCCTCACGTCTCATTTTACAGCGGGACGACGGCACTTATGGCCGACAGACACACGGTGCCGCCGACGGAGCTTCGCCCGCAGCGCCGCGCGGCCGCTTCCCTCAGGCGGCAAAATGGCGGCGGCGGCTGTGAGGGGAGGGGGCGCCGCCGCGAGGCCGCAGCGCGGCCGTTATCCAAAGCCTCCTCCTGCTGCTCTTCCCGCCCTGCCGGCGGGGAGGAGCGCCGGGCCGCGGCCTGCGCCGTTCACGCCCCCTCAGGGAAGCGGTGGGGCCGGGGTGCGGGGCAGCGCTCCGCCGTCCTCCTCCTCCCGCCGCAGGCTCGGCCCCGTTCCCCTTCTCCCCGAGCTGCTCGGAGCCCGGGCCTGAGGTAGGTGCCGCCGTGGTGCTCGGAGGAGCTGAGCTGATCTGCGGGCTCCGTGGCTCAGCCGGGGCCTGATGGCACTGGGGAGAAACCTCCCCACCAGCGGCACGGTGCCGGAGCTGTCTGCCACAGAGCTGCGGCTTTCCCCGCGGGAATACGGGGATTTTAGCACGGGGTGGGGGCGTCCCGTGCGCCGTTCCTCTGAGGGCTCCGTGCGGACACGGAGGGGAGAGTGGGCTAGACGGCGTGGAGCGGTCTGATGGAGTTACAGCCCTCCTGTCACCGCTGTGACGGTGTCCACGTCGCCGGGGGTGAGCAGCTGTTGTCCCGCGGGCTGTTTGGGTAACCAGGAGGGTTGTCAGCGCTGGGCCAGGCCTGTATGTTAGGAATGCGTGCTGGAGCCAGGTCCTGTAAACACTCGGTGCTGTGCGGAGCCCCGTTGCTAAGGGCTCTGTGCAGAAATAATGAGACACGCGTGAGCGCCTCGTGGGAGTCCGGAGGTGTTACCTGACTGCTGGACTGCCGATGGTGTCGTTTCCATGTTTCTTCAGCTTAAGTCTTGGGCTTTATAAATAAACTCGCTTCTTTTTCTGGCTCCTCTTAGGTTTTTGGAGGATGGCCAAGTGGAACTATATTGTTTGTGTGTGTAGATCCCGCGTCTCGCACAAAGATGTCTTATTGTTGACACAGAAACCGTAAGAGGGATGTTGTGTTAGTTTGGTTGGCGACACAAACCAACACAACGCAAACGAAGGCCTTCTTACACACAAGTAGCTCTTTTTACAGAGAGCCGAACGTCACGGCTGCCAAAGATCTGCTTCTAAAGGAAGACAGTGCACCTTTTGGTTCTATATTTGCTATATTTGGTTCTGTATTTGACAGAAGCTCATCTTCTGTCCTTTGGCTACATATAAATCTGCTGCACCTAACTTTGGGAGCAACTTACTTTTGCGTATGCAAATCATTTAAGCAGTATTCTTATAAAAGAGGTTGGCTGAACTGTAAACTTTTAAAATTACATTTAAAAATTGTTTTTAATTGGGTGTGTCGCTGTTATATTTTTTAAATCCTTGAGCTGACTGCACTGAGTTCCTCTCCCCATTGTCAACACGTGTCTTTTCCATTATGACTGACTTCTGCCTTCTCCTTTCCTCTAGCTTGGAATTTTTGCAGTTCAGAACTAAAAATAATCCACAGTGTTGGTGGAGAGTGGTTGAAGAAAGCTGCAGGGCCCCTTGTTTCACTGGGGTGTGTGTTGGGGTAGTGTTCCCTGAAAGCAAGCTTCTGGTTGAGCTAATGCATAGAAATGGCCTTTAGAATCTCTCATTTGCACTGCTTCTTAGTCTGAGAATGAGGAGTAGCTGCCTCTGCCATTAGTATGTGATTAAATGTAAGGAGTGAAGCGGGCTCGAATGCACCTAAAAGGATTTGGTACTGTAGAAGGAAGGGATTGCAGTAGGTGGGAACTCCATAGTGGTCAATGTATTTCACTGTATCAACAATGATGTCTAGTAGGCATTCATCAGGTTGTTCACGTCCAGTGGAAGGAAGGCAGAATTTCAATACTTGCACATCTCCAAGGCAATCCAGCATCTCTTAAGAAGCATTCCTATTAATGAATTAGTTCTACACTGCGTGCTTTGTGCTGCTCTTGGGAGGAGTAGGAATGCTGTTCTAGCCCGTGTCTTACCTGAAGTTTTGTACATGTTAGCATCTCCCAAGAACATCTGTGGATTTTCACCTTTGTGACCAGTTGTTTAAGATTATATTTGAATATTGAAGTTACCATTATTATCTCTCAATGAGTATTTGTGAGTGGCTCTTATATGATGATCCACTGTAAAGGTTTAGACGCGTTTTAAGTTCTTTACCATGAGAGTGGTGAGGTGCTGGAACAGCCCAGAGAGGCTGTGGATGCCCCATCCCTGGAGGTGTTCAAGGGCGGGTTGGATGGGGCCGAGGGCAGCCTGGTCTGGTATTAAATGTAGAACTTGGTGGCCCTGCGTGTGGCAGGGAGGTTGGAGCTTCGTGATTCTTGAAGTCCCTTCCAACCCGAGCCATTCTGTGATTGTTTTCTCCTTCTTTCAGCTTTCCCCACTGCCAGGAGGACGATGTGAGTTGTGCACAATCAGCGCATGGATAACTATTGGTGTTTATTTCCTTTATATGTTTTAGGAGGCAGAAAGCTACGTTGGGAAGACACTAAAGATGCTGATGTTATAAAAAAAAGTAGGCTTTACTAATTTTTTACAGTTTATTTCATAATGCTTTGATTTTTGTTGGGACGTCAGGTGTGACTGTATGCTTGATGATTTGCCCAAATCAATGACTCTTCAGTTTGTCCATGGAGATTTCTAACAGGATTAATAGAAGTTGGAGTTCTATAGCAAGATGTGTTTGGAATTAGCCCAGGTGAAAAAGAAATCCTTTTTAGGCAGACACTGTGGTGTGGAGATGAGTGGTTTTCTCATTTCCCAGTAGCAGGTTAGATCATCTGCTGCCTAAATCTTTGGATCGTTAACATATTCTTTAATTTAAAAAATGGTCTTACTGACATTCTTGGTGTTTGCTTATTATTTGTATTCTAGTAGCAAAATCTCCGAATGCATTAGGACAATTTCTGGTACTAACACGTCAAAATTTGACTAGAATTTGCTACGTGAGAATAGGACAGAACAACTCCCTGTCTCACTTTTGAGTAAGATTCAGTAATGTTTCCTTCTTCTTCTTTCTGCTCTCTTACAGGAAAAATGATACTCATCCAGCATTCCTGAGTAATAAGAATGGGTCCAGATGTACCGCTGCTCAACGATTACAAGCAGGAGTTCTTCTTGAAGCGCTTTCCGCAGACTGTGCTGGGAGGTCCCCGGTTTAAACTGGGCTATTGTGCCCCTCCTTACGTATATGTGAATCAGATCATTCTTTTCTTGATGCCATGGGTTTTGGGAGGAGTAGGAACGCTTCTGTACCAATTAGACATTATGAAAGACTATTATACTGCAGCACTTTCAGGAGGACTGATGTTTGTCACTGCGCTTATTCTTCAGATGGCAAATCTATATGCAAAACAGAAAACAGTGACAGTAGAAAGAATGCAAATCCAGAATGCTCTAACAGATGAAGATGAGTTTGAATTTTCCAGCTGCGTAGGTTCAGAGACAGTAAAATTTATTATTCCTGGCAAGAAGTACATAATCAACACTGTATTCCATTCGCTTCTGGCAGGGGTATTGTGCGGGCTGGGAACTTGGTATTTGCTGCCAAACAGAATAACCTTGCTGTATAACAACATTGGAGGAACTGTTATGATCTTTGTGTTTGGATGGGTGACTGTATGTATAGCAGAGTATTCGTTAATAGTAAATACAGCTACTGAGACAGCTACTTTTCAAGCACTGGATACTTACGAAATCAACGCTCTGATGAGACCTTTCTATATTTTTGTTTTTATTGCAGTGGATCTTGCACACAGGTAAACCTAATGCAGCATTTTGCTAATTAAAGCAGCAGTAATTTTATATGTATTTTTATAAGAAAGGTGAAACTTTTTTCTGAGGAAAATTAATCAATTGGATGTCCAAAAGAAGGCAGAGAAATGTATGTCAGATACTGATGCTTTACATTGTGTATAAAAGGTTGTTCTTAAATTGCTATATTTTGTCACTGAGCAGCTTCTAAGTTAGGAACAGTTAAAACTGTCTTCTGCAGTGTCAGTTTGCTTTTAGCTGTACTTTACAGTCTTTCTCCTTGTCAAGCAATAGTGATATCACTTAGAAAATGTGTTCATGTGACAGAGGTACTTCAAATGCATTATTAAAAAAAAAGCATGTTTGGTTTTGATTTGATTAATTTTGCACTTGAAGATATAATTTACCCTAGTTGCTTTTTCAGTTATAATGTGATAATTACACAAACGGTCTTGGCCCCCAAATAGTTTCGCTATAAACTCATGAACAGAAAATTCAGACGTTCTTTAAATTCCTGAAAACATTCCTTTGAGGCACGCGTATTTATTTACTAGGAAGCAGAGGGAAATCCAGTACCCTAGCAGTCCACCTGTAAGTCAGTGTGCCTGCTGATGAGCTGTATATGGCTTAGAATTTATGCCGACTTCTAATACTGATCTTTGTGTTGTTACAGAAAGTTTTAAATACTTTCATGTACAAAATTGCATGATTAGAATTTTAAAAGATAGCGGTTGAGGCCTTGATCGAATAGATCATGTTTATGCTTCTGGATCGACTGTACTAATTCAGCAAAAAGCCTTCCCACACATCAGCTATATTTTCCTTTCAAAAAGTCAAATGCATTTCTTCTTTCCAGGTTTGCTGTCAACGCACCCATTCTAGAGCAGGCAAACCAGATTTTGCACGTCGTATTTCTTTGTCTGCCGTTCTTGTGGGCAATGGGAATTCTGCCCCCGCTTGACGCACTTTTTCTATGGGGAATGGAACAACTGTTGGAGTTTGGACTAGGAGGTTCACCTATGTCAAGTAACACAAAGTAAATTTTGTTTATACAATGATAAAATATAGCAATATTGTTTATAACCTTTTTCTTTTCAAGCAAATCTTTTTTATTTTCTCCTTCACAGGTTGTTAGTAATGTTTCTCATTTCTGCTGGAACAGCAATAGCATCGTATTTCATTCCCAGCACTCTCGGTGTGATCCTCTTCATGACTGGATTTGGGTTCATACTGAGTCTTAACCTAAGCGAGATTGGTTTTGCCTTCAAACGCACCATGAGCAGCCGTTTAGCCTCCAGCAAATCTAAAGATATGCATAGTGGTCTTAGAATACAGCTTGGGTGGAGGGAGTTGATTTTTTATTTGACTGTACTGACACTTGCTCTCACAGAAGCTAGCCTGCTGCATCAGTTTGCAGGCTTTTCATCGTTTTCCAAGGCCAGTCCCCAGGCTGTAGTGAGTTACATTCTGCTGGTATTACTTGTAACTGTGTGGATTCTTAGAGAGATTCAGAGAGTGTACTTGTTTGGAACCTTCCGAAACCCCTTTTATCCCAAGGATATCAGGACTGTGACTGTATTCATGGAGAAGCAAAGAAGGCTAATGAAAGTTGGTGTTGTCAGGAGGATTTTACTAACACTAGGTAGGAATACACACTATCTGTTGTTTGTTAGATGATGATTATAGGAAGATTGAAACAACACTAGAATTACTGTATGTGCAAGACTGTGAATGAACTAAGAAAAACCAAGTAGCTGGAATTATTTGTTGTTCTTTGCTGTTCTTTGTGCATTGAAGAAATATGGGCTCCAAATATTTGAAAGTGATTACCAGTTTATTTTTTTTTAAAGGGATATACTTTAAAATTTGAGATTATTAAAACTCCAGCTCAAGAAGTAAGGCCTCCTAAAGGATTTTAGTTAAAACATCGGTATTCACTTTTAAAAAAAAAAAAAAAAAAAAAGACTTTTTAAAAAAGGAATCTGTGGAATCTAAAGTGATTCGAGAGTCTTCAGGTTTACTGAATTTGCTAGCAAACAGAACAGTCCCCTTTCTCGTGGGGATAGGGACAAATTTGTTTACTTTGAGGGAACCAAAATTTGACCTAAATTCATTCAATTTCATAAGAAGTTCCAGTCTGGGGAAGTGGACTGAGCTACAAATATTCCTTTCTCCTCAGGGAAACAAACAAAGCAATAATGAGTGAAAAGCAAGCGCTGACATAAATGTTTGCATTACCATTAGTGCAAACGTGTTGTTTGATGTCTTGGAAGTATAATACAAAATGGAGCTTGCCATAATGAAAGAAGGAATTTTCTTTTTACACTAAGACTTTATTCTGCAATAATACTGCTTACCACTGTAAACTTTGTTTTTGAAAGGAAATCAATTATTCTTTTGTTTCCATTTCAGTGTCTCCATTTGCTATGATAGCATTCCTGTCACTAGACCGGTCACTGCAAAACCTTCATTCTGTCTCTGTTTCCATTGGATTCACAAGAATATTTAGGATGGTAATTTGAAGTTTAATTATGTTAGCCTAAGAAATTCTCTTTAGCGTTATTTAAGTATTAAGATGACTTGGCAGAAATATTCCAGGTCAAGAAAGCAGAGAAAAATTAAGCATATTTTTAAAATGTATTTTTAACGTATCTTTATTTTAGGTATGGCAGAATACAGAAAATGCCCTACTGGACATTGTGGTTGTGTCAATAGTGCAAATGTTGGTGTTCAATCCAGACCTGTGGTGGAACAAGAGCCTTGATACAGGAATCAGACTATTGCTGGTAATTGTCATAATGTATATTTTAGCATTTAGTTGTACTCTAAACTCTATTTCCTTGCCCTCCCCTATTAGAGATGGTCAGGGTTCAGGAGCTACCAGATACTAAAAAGCTATGTACTAAGACATGCGTTCCAATAGAAGTCAATGATAATCACTCTTCATTTTCTTAAAATTATTCTAAATAAGGCAGTTTTAGCAGTGCTGTGATAGAAAATACAGATTAACATACTCATGTTATATGTATCTTGCAGGTTGGTATCCTACGGGATCGACTGCTTCAGTTTGCCTCAAAGTTGCAATTTGCCATAGCCATTCTTTTGACATCATGGACAGAGAAAAAACAACGTCGTAAATCTGCTGCCACCTTAATCATGTTGAACGTGGTTTTCTTCCCAATCCTGCTGATCTTCATTGCCATTTCTGCGCTCCTTTCTTCTCCACTGCTGCCTCTCTTCACCCTACCAGTATTTCTGATTGGGTTTCCTAGGCCGATCCGAAGCTGGCCAGGACCAGTGGGTGCTACAGCATGTGTTTGCTCTGACACAGTGTACTACCAGCAGATGGTTCCAAGCCTGGCTCTTGCTCTGCAGTCTGCATTAGCAGCTGGTAGCCTAGGTAGGTATGACAGCTACACCATGATGGAATATAATTAATACTTTGAGAAATGTGATTTTGCTGGAACACGGCAGAATCAGCATCTGGTTGATAATACTTTTCAATTGCTTAGGTTAAATCTGATAACCAGAGATTTTTCATTTGAGGAAAAAGTGATTACTTCCCATCTTTCTCATGCCACTCTATTTTTTTAGGTTCTCTTAAGGAAATACTCCTCTTTGTTGTCTTTAAAATAAGCAAATAAGCAGAAACAAAGTGGGCAGCGAAGCAGTATCAGTCTTGGTCTTTCTGTACTGAACAAAAAAGATGGCATGACTTCATCCCACCTGTATAGAGACAGTGAATTGAGGACTTCTCATGAGAAGGAGAGAAGGAGGTGTCAAACTGTTCTTTGTGTTTGTGTATGTGCATGCCTTTCTCTTCATCCATTCCAGTATCTGGGGACTAGAAGGTGATTCTACTAATTTGGTTATGTTATAAGGTAGGATGAATATGGATGGAATGTCCATAAGATATATGGTATCACCTAACTAGCATTAGCAGTTGAGACCAGAACCAGTTGATGAGACTTAACGTCATATCTTACAGGGTTGTAACAACACTTCTCATCTTAAAGCCTAAGATGAACGCGATGCTGGGTATTTTACAGGTTTATATAAATAAAAGGGAAGAAATGCTGCTGTTTTTCCCAGCTGGAGACAGAATAACTCAAAATTGCAAGCTCATTTTCTAGATGAGCAGTCTCTATATAGCATAAATAATCAAAAGCTCGTTGCCCTTTGACAAAAGACAAACATTTTCAGAAGCCTGTTAGAAAATGGTTTACAACTAGAAAAGTTGGACTGATATTTAAAGAGGGTGGAAGTTAATCACTCTGTCGTGAAGACTGAATACAACTGCTTTACTAGGAAATAGTTGCTGCAGTTTTCATGCAGTTAGATATTAAAAAAAAAAAAAAAGGAAGCTTTTTTCCTCTAAAGAAAAGAGACATTTAATTATCCAGTCCATCAGCCTCTGTGTGTGTATTATATGTTTCTCTATGGCCATTGTGACTTTGGTGGCATGTATACTTCAGGTTAAATAATTTAAAACACTAATCTTGATGGAAAAAGTGTCTTCTGTTTAATGGGAAAATCTGTGAATGAATGTCTTTAAGCAAGAAAAAATGTTGTGTTCTCAGATGAGTTAAAATATGAAAATGTTCCACTTTGTGTGTCTCTATTTTAATTTAAAGCTGTACTTTTTTCCATGTAAAGAAGTTTTAGTAGCTTTAACAGCTGGTAAGAAAAATGTTGAAGTCTTTGCAAAATGTTAGCAAGAAAATGCACTTCATTAGCTCACTGGGATAGAAAAGGTTACTTAAATTTTAACTGCAGCTTAATGGTTGGTTTCACTGATTCCATCTTACAACGTTCTAGAACTGAAATTCTCCATGGAAGTGAGTGATCACTTGGATGTGAGTGAGAGCAGAAGCAAGTCATAAATTGCTGCATCAGACTTCCTAAACAGCACCAATGTGTGAGGAGTTGACAGTGGTTGTAACTTAAATACATAATAACCCATTTGGTAGGATGTTTGGCATTGTGTCTTTTACTGAAATAGCTTAAAAGAGAGAAATAGTACGTGTGTGTTTGGGGATAAGCTGTGTAATTTTTACAGTCATCACCACATTGTGGGATTTTTGAGCATTAATGACTTTGATCTGTGATCTGATGTTGTTCAGAACTTAATTTTAAAATTTCAGTTCAGTTTTCGAGACATTTTTGGTGATGTCAAACTTACAACAGCTGATTTTTTTTTTATTTTATTTTTTTTGCTCCTGTTAAACCTCATGCAGTTGGTGATTGCCCAGCCCTCCACTTTGTCCAGATCCCTCTGTAAACCCTCTCTACTCTCAAGAGAATCAACAGCCACTCCTAACCTGAGCAGAATGATTTAAGCTCTGTATTTTGTATCCTGAATAATATCTTTTTAATCACTACAATACAGACAAATTAATTCAGGAACTAGTAGTATAGGTACTGACTTCCATTGAGGGAGAATTTTCTTGTTCCCTTAATTTTGTACTCCACAGTAAGCAGGGCCACTGAGATACCCATATGTTAGATGATGATTCTTCACAGTATTCCACAGTCTCAAGAATTTTATATCTCCATAATATATCTCCATTGATGGAAACTGTGCACTTGGAAATGCAGCTAAAGGTGATCTGCAATCACAGAAGACTATGACAGGAGTTAAGGGTGGGGTTACTTAACCCTGGTCCAGTGTGAATATTGTGGTCATGCAGTTCTGTAAGACTTTCACAATTTTTCACAGCTTTTTCAAAGACAGCAGCACAATTTCAAGATTACACTTTGCAGCTAATTCCTTTAAGGTCCTAGGGTACTAATTAGCCAGGTATAATTAATTTTTATGTTGATGTTTTGTGTATGCAATTGAGTTTCTTAGCTGGCATGTGGAAAAGGCTTTCACTGATAGAATGCTACAGTAACACAGCAGTTGGTTTGGGTTTTTTCTTTTTTTTTCTTGTTTAGGTCTCTCTCTACCTGGGTCACATTATTTGTGCCGTTTTCAGGATAGACTAATGTGGATATTGGTTCTGGAAAAAGGCTTCACTTACTGTGGTGTTAATATTAAGGTAATTGCATGCTTTACTTAACTTGTGATTTACTTTTGAATGTTTTAGAATCGTGTAGAGATTTTGCTGTATTACCGTCGAACAACATCACTAATTTACCTGCTGTTACTTACAGTCAATTTTTTAAGATGGGTGTTCCATCTGCATTAACTAGTCTTGCATCTGACATGCCAAGCAGGTGTAAACTTATTTATTTTCTGTCTTGTTATGTCTTTATTAGCTGATAGAGATTTGCATGAGGCAAATTCTTGGCTTCTTCTAAAGCCACTTATCTGTGCCTAACAGTGTAGTGAGTGTCTAGTTAGATTTATAGGCAGCTCCCCTCTGAAAAAACTCTGATAATGGAGCACATCTTCATTTGTTGGGAAAAATATTGTTATAAGAAAACAGAAGATATGGTCTGGTAAAGACTAAAACCAAATTGTTTTCATTTCTGCTGTAGGGACTGGAGCTGCAGGAAACATCTTGTCATGCTGCTGAAGCTCACAGGGTGGATGAGATTTTTGAAATGGCCTTTGAACATCAGGAGCACGCAAAGATGCTCTCTCTCAATCACCATTTTGGACACATTTTGACTCCTTGTACTGTTCTACCTGTGAGACTGTATTCTGATGCCAGAAATGTGTTATCTGGAATAATTGACTCCCATGAGAATTTAAAGCATCTAAAAGATGATTTCATTAAAGTGCTTGTATGGATGCTTGTCCAGTATTGTTATAAAAAATCAAAAGCATGGGAAACCCTGGGCAGTGCAGACAGGAACAAGAAAGGACCATTTGCAGGAAAGCAGCACAGTGGTGCAGTAGGAGCACCCAGGCCCCTGAGGGATGAAGAAAGCTTTAGCGTTGATACAGTTGAGGACTGGACTGATGATAGTGATGTTTTTGATCTCGAACCCAGGGGCAAAATGAGAGACAGAAAAGAACCTCGACATTTGGGAATGACACCAAAAGTGCACCTGTCTATTCCAGGATCTGTAGAAACACAAAGCCAAGATATCCTGCAGGAAATGTTGCCAGAAGATAAATTGCACAGGGCTGTTGTGCTTGGGCTTCCTGCTGTAGACAAAGGAAAACAGCAGGAAGTTTTACCTCGGGTTGAGTTTAGTTGCTCTTACTCAGAGCTATTGAGCATCCCTGAAGAATGGAGAACAGCCCCAGTGCCTCCTTCCAAAGTCCATGAAATGAGGCAGAAGTTTCCAGAAGAATGGTACCATTTCATTTTGAGTCAGCTGGACTTTTTTCACCTGAAAGACAAGCCTTCCAATTTACTTGATGACCTTATGAAAGATAAAGCTTTACAAGACTTATACGTCCACGGTGTATTGTCATGTTGTTTCGGTCTATTTGGACTGGATAACACGGTGCCTGCCCCGAGCCACGTGTTCAGAGCCTACACTGGTGGTATTCCTTGGTCTGTAGGCTTGGACTGGCTAACTGGCAAACCAGAGCTGTTCCAACTTACATTAAAAGCATTCAGGTAAATGCAGAATACTTTCTCAGATTTGAAAAATGACATAGGGAATACTGAACTTTGAAAGTTTGCAAAGATTAGTTCACTTTAAAACCATCTCATTTAAAGGTATTTGTACTTCTTTCTACATGAATACTGCCTGTGTCCCAAGGCCACAAAGCATGTGGTATGGAGTTTCCTTTATTCATTTCCTGCTTGCAGGTGCCTCCAATTCTTGAAATTCGACCCATTTTCATTGTCCACATCACCTGGGAGAATTGCAATGGAGTGAAATCTTTGGCAATTCCTATTAACAGACAGGGGTAACAGTGTTTGAAGTGAATGGAAGTTGTTTCAGCTAATGTGCTTTACGTCTGGGTGAGCTAAAAGCATATGCTCACTAGCTGCTAGTTACTCAGCTGTCAAGAAGTAACTGACAAAGTTAGTACTGCCTGAGAGGCTTTCTTCCTTCCCTTCTTTGCAGCAGTACTTACTGTATGTCTTTCTGTACCTTTCAGATACACTTTTAAACTCATGGTTGACAAAGCAAGCCTGGGTCCAGTTGAGAACTTCAAAGAGCTTGTTAACTATCTGGAAGAATATGAAAATGACTGGTACATTGGGCTGGTGTCAGATCTTGAGTGGCAGCAAGCAGTTCTCCAAGAAAAGCCATACCTGTTTTCTTTGGGGCATGATCGAAATATGGTAAGAATAATCATAGCGAGCAGTGTCAAAGCTTGGTTTTCTTCTCCACTGTTTTTTGCTTTGTCTGGTGTTTTGTGTGTGTTTTTTGGTTTTTCCTATTTTGTTTTGTTCCAAAAGATGAAGGCTGTGCCACCAAATTGTACTAGACAGGAGCTGACATCACCGTTGTTGAAAATAGCAAGGCATTGTTCTTCAGATGCTGTCATATTTGCTGGTTATGTTTCAGAATGGAAGAGTTGAATCAAGGAGACAAGTTGATGCACTTTGCCATTTTAGAGAGCCAGTGCTCATAGCATGAGAAGTTCCAGTGCTTCAGAGCCTCATTCAGTGCTTTGTAACTGAAGTGCTTGTGTGACTCCTTATAGAAAATAATGAACGTTTTGATGTTTGTTTTTGAAGGGAATTTACACTGGGCGAGTCCTCACTCTCCAGGAACTGTTAGTACAAGTGGGAAAGCTTAATGATGAAGCTGTCCGAGGTCAGTGGGCAAATCTGTCCTGGGAGCTGCTGTATGCCACGAACGATGATGAAGAACGCTACAGCATCCAGGCACACCCAGTTCTTCTGAGAAACCTCACTGTGCAAGCTGCAGACCCACCTCTTGGCTACCCTGTTTATTCTTCTGAGCTTCTGCATCTGTCTTTGTTCTAGACCGTCTGTAGCACTTCTTTGTTATTATTTTCTCTTTTCCATTTGCCTGTTGGGAAAGATGCTTATGCTACATTTATACACTACAAGACTGAGAATTGCGCTGGGTGGCAGTGCCAAACCAGTGTATGTGATTTGCACAGAAGTGGTGCTAGCCAAAACCTTCAGCAGGCAGGAAGTTCTGTTTTCTTGCTGCTGGAACATTTGAGACACCATTGCCAGTGTGGCTGACAAGCCGGGAGATGCTGAAATTCTCTTCTCCAGGTTAGAGAAGAGCAGCATGATTCTGATCATTAACTGTGGTGTATTCTGATCTTTTTCTTTGTAATAGTTGGACAGGTGACTTGCACTGACAGGTTACAGCTCCCTGTAGAACCGTCAACCACAGAGTTGGTAACCAAAGTGTATATATGATTATTTATATGATTTCTTTTTTTTATTCTGGCCATTTTATATTGGACTGAGTTCAGTTTTAGTACTTGTGATAATATAAGATTTTGGGTGATCTTCCTTAGTTGTAGTAAGTTATCAGCTGTGCTTTTGTGAAGTTGTAAGGGAGGATTTTTACCAAAGTACATGTTGTGGGGGCAAAGATATTCATATAAAAGAGTTTGCATTCTGACACATTAATAACCTGTATGGCCTGCTGATGAAAGTGGGCATGTATGGTTAGGGGACAGATAGAATTTAGGTCCAAATGCATTAATTTTATTTCCTTCTTCCAGTACCCAGCTATATATACTTAAACTGTTGTATGTATCCTATGTCCTCATCACTAAGCAGTCTTCCACAAATGCAGTGAGTGCTCGATGACTGAGGGTGGAGCCCAGCTGTCTTTGGCAGATCTGTTATTATGGTTTTGTTTTGTTTTGTTACCTTAGCAGAGCTTAAGACAATTGGCAATTGTTTTATATTATTACAGGTCTGGGTCATCTCTCCAGTGATTACTTTATCCCGGTCATTACTACCAGTCATTAGCACATAAATGTATTTTCTCTGTAGATCTGTAGTTACAGTGTAGTTATTGCTGGTGTAGGTTGAGCAGGATTAAATACTTGTCTTTCTTCAAGCTGTAGAATCAATTTAAAGCACATCTGCTCTGTAGCTGGTATGGTGTTGGTTTAGAGAACCCTGTCCTGCATAACTTGGAGAATGTGTATTACTTCTGCTCCTCACCTTTAAGATGTTCTTCAGTTGGATAAAATTTGTCACGGGATTGTGTGCTATGTATGTGGTTATTAACTGTGTGTTTTCACCAGTGAAGTATGCAAACCCTGTAATGGAATTCTGAAGTGGCTGTTCTGGTACCATCAAACACCAAAGTATAACTTCCGCAGTACAGTATGAAATTCCCACAGAGTATTCATGGAATCAGCTTTTAGACAGTGGTTGTTTGGTGTGCTGCAGGAGCATGAACAGCAAAGTGCTGATAACTACACAAATCCTTGCTTGCCCTGTACCTGGAAACACAGAGTTGTGGACACAGATCTGATGGGGGCTTTTATAGAGCACCTGCTTCAGCTCCCAGTCAAGGAGGACTATCCTGGCAGATGTTTTAAGTGGGATAAAACATTTCATACCAGTTGGAAAGGTTGGGATTGTTGTTTGTTTGTTTTTTTCTTGTCTAATTTAAACCTCCCTGCCTCAATGTACACCTCCAACTGACCTTCACAGAAAATTTAATTCTTTTGTTTTCTACTTTGTCTTCTATAAACTGAATAAACTAGTTGAGAAAAGACTGAAGAGAGCTGCGATCATTTTCTCTTGCTTTTCCTAGTTCTCTCCATCTGGTACCCAGCCTTCTTGAAAAGCATTGCTGGTAACTGGTGTTACTGGCCCCGGTTTTCCAGCAGAGATCTCGATTGGTACCAGATGGAGGAATAGAATTAGTTATGTGCAGAATTCCTGTTTACGGACAGACTCCAGTGTGCTGTGGCATCCTGTCCCCTGCTACTGCAGGCAGCATGTCCTGCAGCCCCTCATTCATGAATGTACTGAGTCAATTCATACATTCCAGTACATTGTGTGACAGCATGACACTGACTCTTGGTAATGATTTTCTGTAGCCCTCTTCAGAATCTAATTTTTGACAGAACCACTGGTTAAAGTCTCTTGGTCTGCACTAGAGATTGATGTGGCTCAGTGCCTCTGTTACGTGTGTTGTTTTCTGTGTGTTACTTGAACAGTCTCATTTGTTTTGGAGCATTTCCTTGATTTATGAGGAATTTCCAGCACTTTCAAGCCAGGTTTGTCTGCTGCTCTTAGAAGCACCTATGCTACTACTCATCTGTCTGAGGGAATGATTTGGGATGCAGTATCTGGTTGACCCCTGAGAACTGCTCTACCTTTGTAACCAGGTATGCATCAGCTATGTTGTAAATTGTTATTAACACCTGCTTGCTTTACAGATCGCAGTATTCATCACACAAAGGTAAGCATAAGGCACTGTGGCCTTGAAAAAGAATACTGAACAAGATCAGCTTTAATCTAACAAAAGTTCAGTGCTCATTAGAGGATTTTCACCCCTTCTGATCTAAGCAGGATTTTTTTAGCTCTCATACAAAAACATTAAGTCCCAGAGACAGCCTGTCTCATTTCTGTTACTATGAGGCAACAGGAATCAGCTTAATGGAGTGAAATGAACCTTCTGTTCTTCCAGAGCTGCATGAGACTTGCTTGTCATTTGATCAGTCATTTTTGTTCTAGACAGTAGATTCCTTCTGTATTAAAAGTCTTGTGAAAAATGTCACTTTTGACTCTGCTATGCTTAGGAAGTTTCAGCATTTTATAAATATATTACTCTTTTATTATTGCTCAATTATATATATGAAGTAGGATTATTATTATTTTTAACCTGGAGAGTGTGTGGCTTCAGGTACATCCAAACATTACTGAGGACTTCAGCAGCAAAAAGGTCACTAAGCTTGTAAACATAGGGAAATTACCACTACAGAAGTATTTCTAGTTAACAATTGAACTGAATGTTAATTCAACTGTAGAAGTTTTAAAACTGCAGTCCTCAGTTCTCCACCTCTGATGTTGGGATTTGCTTCTGCTTTGTATGAAGGTGCCTGCTTCTGGGAGGGCTGGGAGCTTTGTCTCATTTGTGGGTGTCTTGAGTCACCCACAATGCAATGCCTGCCCTAATTCAGCTCCAACACAAACGCTGTTGTCTTGGCTGTAAGCAACTTGATGTAACAAGTTCGTTGTTAATGCCATGCCTGTGCTTGTAGCTACATGTTGTTCTGCTATAGGAACTCTTCCCCTTCTTCTCATGATACTCTACAGCATGTACCAGGCTTAGTGCAAAGCTGAGTGCCTGCTATGACAGAGGTTACAGTCATATCATCACTTTCTTTCTTCCCCATTGCCCAAGTTTCAGACTTCACTTCACCAACCAGAAACCTGAGGTCTGTGGGCTCTGCAGTTGTCCTTGGAGTCCTGAAGACAAAGTACTTCAAAATACTGATGAAATCTCATCTCCTTTTCCCAAAGGAACAATTCTCAAACACTGACTATGCTTCCTTTAACTACAAGCTTCTACGAGTGTTTTTCTTCTGCTAATGGCCCATTAGGAGTAAAAGTGAAGGAAATAGAGTCCTGTGGGTATAAAATTCATAGCTTGCTCACAAAGTATTTGCTAGTGTCATAGCAGCAGAAAACAAAGCAATGCTTGGCCTCTGTCTCAGTTACTATAAGTTTAAACATTTTTTAAACCAGGTGTATTTAAAAACTGAACTTTATTTAGCCAAGTGCGTATACAGCTTGATAGATTTGTCAAGTTATATGATGAGAAAGGTACAAGTGATAAAAAAAAAAGTTCTCATTTGCAGCCATGCAGCATGGGAAGGTTTCTCTCTCAGCCTTAGCACGAGTACAGCAGGATTTTGTACGTTTCTCCTTATTTCTTCTTTCTTGAATAAGAGGCATCAGCATCCTGGAATGAGAATACATTGTCAGCATTTCCCCTCCTTGTACTGTATTGGTGTCCTTCACTCACAGCATTACTTTGCCTGAGCCACCCTGTAACCATGGGCAGCTGCAACTTAAGGCTTCCTGCCTTCGCAATCTATGTGCCAACGTTAGTGTTCCATTTCCTGATTTTTGAATGCTTCAGCTTGTTACTGCATACTAAGTTCAAGAACACAGCAAGAAATGTACCATCTACCAAGTAGTGCTGCAAGATCAAAACACTGCATTGTACATCTGTCTTCTGGGAATTGAATGAGAGGGAAGAGACCTGACGCAGAGCCATACTGCGTAACATGCTTTGGGGAGGTGCTCCGATTGCATGTCTGATAGAGAAACTAGACAAAACTCACAGAGAGTCTGTCAACAGTCTTAATTTCAAACTGCATTAAGTAATTCGTGCTGATGACTTACAGCTCAGCCCTGCATTGCTGCTGAGTGTGAACTCGTGGCCTGTGTGACAAAGATTAGAGGCAAGACCTCTGGCACTACAAGATGTGCTGACTTCACTGCTCTGCGATGTGACGGTGCTGCAGTAATTCTAGAGTACCGGGCACACAGCTATGAAGCCAAGCCTGGCATCAGCTGCCAGGGAAGTGAGGAGGAGGAAAAGAAACGGATCCAAAATTGCAATCCCAGCATTCCTGCAGCTAAAGAGTCTGTCAGCAGAGTAAAAAAAAGCAACAAGCGGGGGAGAGAGGAATAAACTTACCACTCCGCTCTTAAAGTTCTGTATTCTCCTCTTGCCCATTCTGTTCATCAGCCACCAGGCCCAGGTGGGCGCGTACTGCCAGAGGTAGCAGACTGCCAGGTAGGGGTGGTCGCTGATCCAGGCCTCCTTCAGGTCATTGGCTGTGCTCACCAGTGTGAGCCGGACGCAGCGCTCGGTTGGCATCTTGTGGGACTGGTCACCGCTGTTCTCTATCGACTGGAGGACAGAGAGAGGGCAGGAATTAAAACTGGACTTGTGGTTGTGGCTGACAGAGGGAGAGTAAGGTCTGAGCTCTGTGCAGCAGATGTGCTCTTCTTAATTTCTGCAATGTGCAAATGAGGAATAACCCATCTCTCCCTGCTAATCCACTGGCTTTCTGTGTGGGAACACTTACCGCCTTCCTTTAGATTAAATAAAGTATCTTTTTAATTAATACCTCATTAATAGTTCAAAGAAAAATATTTTAAAATGCCTCAAAAATCTATTCTGCTTTGGCATGAAATTACACTGAAGGAGACATATCAGGACAAATTACCCATTCTGCAGCTGAAGGCTTTGAGAGATGCAAGCTTTCCTGTTCCCAGCTGCCTACCCCATTATACATTACAAGTTAATCTGTAATCAAATTAGTATGAGGACATGTCCTCCATTAACTTAAAACTTCCTGCCAGCTTGCTGCTCTGTGTGCAGTTATCTCAAGAGAAGAGCAATAGACTTCTTCAGTGGCAGTGATGTTTTGTTTGATGTCTTCTCCACAGGTATCCCATAGTGAAAATAAGCTGCAGCTCTGTGAATTCATACACATCTCATTCCAGCAGTCATGGACTGCTCTATCACTTTGTTCTTCTGTTTCCTGGAGCAAAAGCTATTCTAGCTTAGATTCGGTCTTCCTCCTGGGTCCTCTGCCATGCTGAAATCTAAGGAATTTGTTTTGCAACATTTCCAGACTGCTGGAAAAGTACATTTTTTCTTTCATGAAAGTATGCAGTTTTGTAAGCCAAAATTCCTTTCAGAACTTGATTTAACAATGGGAGAACTTCTTTCTCCCCGTCTTACTTGTGGGTTATCCTGAGCTTTGAATTAACTGAATTTATGACATTACCAATATAAATCATAGCATCAACTTCTGGCAGCTATTCTGCGAGACAGCCTTTATTAAAAACAACTGAGCAAATGGGAGGTTTTGCTATTTGTCCTTGAACAACCACTAACAGGAAAAGCATGCATGCCTCACATCAGCTGACCCCAGCAGCTTTGCCAACACTTGCACCAGAGTCAGCCAAACAGAGGATGCTGTGAGTAGGGCAAACAGAAAGCTACCTGTGCTGAAACAACACTGCTCAGCACTGTAGCATGATATCTAGGAAACAGAGGCCTTTTCCCCAGAACTGCAGCAGGGCAGCTGTATGGTTAATTTACAAGATGTGGATTGTGTGTGTTGGAAGAGAGAAGGCATAACAACTCTCCAACTTTATTTTCATTTTATATGGACTTAACACCATGAAGCATTACATGACAACACTTGGCTTTGCATTAACCAAAGCATTTCTTGGTAAGAAAAGGGAGGTTGGTGTTTGCTAGGGGAAACAAAAGAAAACAAAAATCACAAAAGGTTCACTTTTGCCTGTAGCAAAAGTTGGATTTACCATAATAGAATTTCAAGTCCTTACCTTGTCAAGTTTCTCCGTAAAGACATTTTGTATAATCTTAGACTGCACAGGTCCTGGGCATATGTTGATAATGCTTATGTCAGGGTAGTCTGTCAGCTCCGTCCGAAGAGAATTAAAAAAACCCTGGAAGAAAAGACTGTCGTGTGACTACATTTTTAAAATTGATTTCTGTAATCCCTACTATTTTGACTATTAGTCCTATCCAGCTTGGGAAGAGGGCTGTCTGGCCCGAGCTCTTATCCAGAATGCACTGTAGGAAAAACATCAATCAGATGTCCTCCTGTGGTGACGCCAAACACAACAACTGGAGCAATATAGTTGCAATATTCGAATTGCACACCCATTGCACACCCATGCATGCTTACAACCAAGAACCGTCCATATATGCTCTGATTTCCCAATGACTCGTGGCTGATTCCAGCTCACAGATTGCATGTAGGCTCTGCAACTACATTCTGTGAAAACGCTGACCACACCTGTTAACTTACAAGCACCTACAGGCTCCATGTTAGATCTTCAAAGCAAATTATCTAAGATGTGTCGCTTCTGGAGGACTAATTCTAACACTAAAGATGTTTGTATGTCTGGAAGCCTGCTTCTGGACAGATCAGGAAGCCTCTCAGATCTGCCAAGGATTCAGATGACTTTGATTAAAAACCTGGAGTACTCCTCCATCCCTATACACACCTTCAGCCACAGCATCAACACTGCTGGCTGGGCTTCACCCATTGCTCTTGGCTGATGCTGCAGCCCACAGCTGTGCTTTTCACAGCCCCTCCTTTCCTCAAGGGATCCTGGGGACACTTATCTCAGAAGAGCACCAATTTGTGCAGTTCCATCACAGAAGCTGTGCAGCCAAGCTAAGTCAAAAGTAACATGCCAAAGAGCACTGGACCTTAAAGGGGAGAAGGTGGCAGTGTGTCAAGTTGGTGAGGACAGCCAGTTTGATCACGAGTGCTTTGTATGCTGTTTACTGCACCAATGACTACAAGCCCGGGCACTCATACAAAGACACCCTAAACAGTAAGCTGTGCAACCATAGTCCCTGCCATATGCAGTCGTTGGTTCCTCCATCAATACTGAATTGCAGGAGCAGCATTTAGAGCTCTTCCAGCCCTCACTCCCTTATCACTCCATGGGGACTTGGGATCAGGTCACTGGGGGGCTCCAGGGATATAAATTCTACCCAGAAATGGGCACAACCCAGAAGAGGTCAGCTCTGCAACTTCAGACAGCTTCCCGCAGAGGGCTCTGGCACACTCCTTCAGACTGCTGCTTCCCTCCAAGCATTTTACAAAGAAAGCCTTGTTGCCTTGAACAAATTGCAAGGTAACAAAAGCTGAGCATTGGTCCAGTGAGCCGGAGTTATCCTTGAAGATCCCGTCTAGACATCAGCCAAGCACAGGGCTGCTGAGGCTTTTTTCAGTGTTGTTTGAGTAGTGGGGTCAATGTCAGTGCTATTTATTGCAACCAAGGGCTTCAGACTCCACAAACACAAAATCCACGTAGCCAGAGAAGCCAGCAAGATGCAGTTTGTACTGTGACCACCCTGCTATCCCCCTCCATTTAAAGGGCTTTCTGTGACCCCTCCCTCCCTCCCAATGCAGTTTTTACACTGCAGAAGAGGTGCAGCCTGCACAGAGCACACAGTGACTGGCACTTACTCAGGGGGAATTCAACAGACCTTCGTGAAGGCAGCAGCTCTAGCACAAGGAGCTGGATGAGGCTGCAGCAGGTCACAGAATCACAGAAGAGACCTCTGGAGATTGAGTCCAACCTCAATGCTAATGCAGGTTCCCTACAGCAGGCTGTACTAGGGTCTGTAGAACAGGAACTGCTTCAAACCATGGGCCTTTTCAGCTTAGTAACCATATCCTAGAAGATGCTGCAAAAGGCAATGCTGAAATGACTTCTACTAAGACAGAAATGTACCCATAGCTCTAGACTGGTAAGAGACTCTCAGGGTGAGTCTAATTTCAGAATCTACATTGCAAACCATTTGCAATTAGTATTTGCAGGACTACTGCAAAAGAAACAAGAGAGGAGGTCTGGGGTCTGGCCTGGTTGTTGAGCAGAAGTAGAAATATCAAAGATAAAAACAAGGTAACTGAACTGCTTATAACTAATCCAGACATTTTAGTAAACTATTTCCTATTAATCTTCTTCCACATTCTTAATCTCCACATGAAATTCGAAGTTTGAGAACTTTTAAAGCAACAAATGAATTCCCCTGCAACTAACTAGCTGTGCTTATTCCAACAGCACCACAGCCA